AGAAAGAAAGAAAGAAAGAAAGAAAGAAAGAAAGAAAGAAAGAAAGACATCTGAGCTATATTTTTATCTTGGAAGATTCGTGTTTTTTCCAAAGTTCTCATCCTCCAACGATACATTTTAAATGCACTTGGCATGTTTTGAGCTGGCAATTATGTCAGAACATTCAGGAAGTGTGAAGGTTGTGGATAATTAAATTCTGATCTGCCAGTGCAGGATCTGTCAATCCGAATGGAATTCTTCCAGCCAAAGTATGTTTAGCTCCCTCTCGTTTGATTCTCCAACCTGACGTCTTGGCCATGCAGATTCTAGAACCTTGTGTGAAGACGCCCAGGTTTGGGGGAAAGTGGTTCTAAGGAGCTTATTCCTCTTCATTGGGATCCATCCAGGCTTCCTATATGACTGAATTATGCCGGTTTGCAAGAATACCATGAATCACTAAAAGAGCATTCCACCTTGAGCGGGGGGTGGGGGGTGGGGGGTGGACTAGAAGACCTCCAAGGTCCTATCCGACTCTGTTATTCTGATACTAATATCTCCTTTACAGATCCCCTCCTTTGACAGCTATGCTGTTAATGGAAACGTCATGCCAAAAAAAGAACATTTTTATCTTCTTGTTCAACCACAAATACATTTTCCTCTTCTCATAATTTTCCGCCTCTTGTATACTTTGCCTTGTTTTTATTATATTGCTTTGGGATGGCAGGTCCCAGTCTAATGAAGCCAAGTTCACTTGCTCACACAAAAGCAAGGATTTGGGGCTGCTCCTAAGCCTTGTCCCCGGTGTTCTGTGAATCGTCAAATATGAACCTCTTTCATAGGTTAAGGGCTAAAATGTAAAACAAGACTTGGTTCAAGTCAACTATACCTATGGAGTTCTGTGATAAGATAAATCCATTTCTGCTTCTAGGTTGAAATGTGTGACAATCTTCATCGGACAATACGAGTCTAACTTTTTGCTATTTGTATATTAACCCTTGGAGTCCCAGTTTGGTATAATAGTTAAAAACATCCAGCTACAAGGCAGCAGACAGGAAGTTGTAGTCCTACATTAGGTTCAAAGCCAGCTGGGTGCCCTTGGATCAGTCCTTCTTTCTCAGAAACCATTTCTAAAAACCAAGCCAAGAAATCTACATTGAATTGTCCAGGCAGTTGTCAGGTGTCAAAACTGACTCAAATCCACCATAAATATTACCTATATTAGCCATTAGAACTGGTGGATTATAACAGGTTTGCTGTGGCAATAGTGAAGGCTCTGATGGAGTCCAGTACAGTTAAGGCAGTACTGAATTCCTAACTCTCTGAGAAAGATCTTGCTTTAACCCAATAGCTTCAACCCCTTTGGAAGGGGTGCCCTTGTAAATATTTCACTTATTTTATTATTCTTGCTCATCCTTTCCCGTCTCCTCCCATGGCTGTTCCTCATTTTGTCCAAATCCACATGGCACACTCTGCAAAGCAGAAACTAACTCATCTTTGGGGCTTAAATTGTTCCACGGGACCGTTTTATGGATTGATTGACGATGCTGTACGAATAAATAACTTATACAAGTTGGTAACGAAAGGCAACAAAAGTAGAACTAGGATGTTTTTTTAAAATAAAGAAGCGAGTGTTTTAGATAGAAGAACACTGCGTAGAACATAAATGCACCAGAGAAGCTCTTAATAATAGTATCAAAGCTTCGTTGTTGCATGAATTTATCAAGTATTTCAGCTAATTTAGCCAATTATGTCAGATATAAAAATTCTCTACGTCTGTTCGTACAAGCAAGTGCATATAGTGGTGTGCAGAAGTGCATGAATTGTTTTCCCATTTTATGAGCTGAGGCTAAAGGGCTTCTAATTTTAATTTTAATTGGTTGATTGATTGGAGGTTATAGCCATAGTTTTCCGATGGTCTTGAAGGCGCTTCGAGTTTTGTTTTGTTTTAATCTCACTGCTTTAATTTGATTGGATGTTTCAGGTATATAATTCGAGATTTTAGCATCCTAGTGACACCAGGTCAAACAAGGATCAGACAAATTTCAGCTAAAACAGAAGGCTACAGGACTAGATTGAAACAATCGGAATATTCACCAAGGTTTTTAAGGCTGTTTTTTTTTAAAAAAAAATAGTGTTACTTTCAGCCTACATTCTGAAATTATGTAATGTTCCCTGCAACTCTATAACCATGTAATCATATGGAGATAAATTTGCTCAGATGAAGAAATGAAATGTTGTGGCAAATTGCAGTTTTGTTGAAATTTGTTCTATTCATCTATAGCGTTAAAGAACCATTTCGAAGGCTGCTGGTTTTTAAATCAAACAAAAAAGAGAGAAAAATAAAGAATTTTCTTAAATGATTTCGGCTCATCTCGTACGCGTCGGGAGAAAAGCACCAGATATTGTGAATCTTGGTACAGTTATTTTGATTAAGAGGGGTGAGGATTTTTTATTTTTATTTTCTAAAAGCCAGTTTGCTGAATTTATGCGAAGGAAAGAGACATGTGCTTAAAATAATGACACGTCTCATTATTAGAGCCTCATTTATTGTAATGATTTGCATAGGATTGCTGGTCCTTCATATTCCTGGGTATATACTATACCAGTATCAGCATTTAAGTCCCGTGGGAACAGAACCATAAATTTGTGAATCTTTCATGACAGACTATTTTTTTTCTTGTCAAATTAGCCCTGGCTGCAAAATTCTTCTCCTAAAGAACATTACTCTCGCCATTTCAAGCAGTAAATGATATGTTTTCAGAAACCAGGGGGAAAAAATTCTTAACAAGTTTACTAGATTTTCTATCCAGTTACAGCTTGAATAACATAGTTTCGGCTTGAATAATATAGTTTTTGAGTTTATTATCCGTGTATAATTGAGGGTTCCAAAGAGAGGCATGTAGCGCGGCCAAGTTCATCCCCCCAGTCCCCCCCCAAAATGCCTGTCATCCTTTTGATATCAGTCAACCCCATGACCACTTTCCCTTCGCTTGATAAAAGACGCTTTTAATGGGTGTCCCGATTTCTAAATGTCTACGAAGCTCAGTTTTGCAAAGACTGGTGCAGTCACGCCATGAAAGGAACTGGTTTGATTGTGTGCATGTGCGTGAGAGAAAGGGGGGGGTGGAGAGGGAGGGAGGGAGAATGGGTGAAGAAAAAGCTTCTCTTGAGGAAGATTTTGTTTTGTTTTTCCAACCTTTTAAAATTCTTCCCCTCTGAGGATTCCTCTTGCAGAGTCTATCCCCTGAGCCCCTTTGCAGCCATTCCAACTATTCTCCTTTGAAAACCCAACCTAGAGATTCAAACTTAGGAAGACGACTTCTTCTTCTTCTTCTTCTTCTTCTTCTTCTTCTTCTTCTTCTTCT